AATGCTTGCATTCTTTGAGTTTCTTGTTGGCTTTTTGTATTTCCTTGTTTTTTGGATTAATTGGATTTCTTCAGATTTTTTGATGATTTGGATTTCTTGGAAGTCTTGGATTTCTTTGCTTTTTTGGTCTGCGCACTTCTTGAATTTCTTGGATTACTCGGATTTTATGGATGTACTGAATAACCGGACTTCTGGGATTTGTTCATTTTCTTGGATGTTTTAGATGTCTTGGATTTTTTGCATTCCCTGAACTGTTTGCTTTTTTGAGTTTTTTCGGTTTCTTGAATTTCTTTATATTATTGTCTTTCTTGGATTTTTGATGGGATTTTTGTATTTCCTTGCTTTTTTGTATTTATTGCAGTTCTTCAATTTCTTCGAAATTTTGGAGTTCTCGGAAGTCTTGGATTTCTTTGCTTTCTTGGGCTTCGCACTTTTCGAGTTTCTCCAGTTTCTTGAATTTCCTTGTATTCTTGTGTTTCTTGGATTTTTTATGGACCTTTTGTTTTCTTTGTTTGTTTGGATTTATTGGATTTCTCCAGTTTCTTCGATATTTTGGATTTTTTTTAAATCTTGGATTTCTTAACTTTCTTGGGTGCGCAATTCATGAGTTTCTTGGATTTCTTGGATTTCATTGATGTCTTGAATATCTTGGATTTCTGGGATTTCTTCAATTTCTCGGATGTTCTAGATGTCTTGGATTTCATGAATATCTTGGATTTCTTGCATTTCTTTGACTGTCTGTTTTTTTAAGTGTCTTTAGTTTCTTGACTTTCTTTACATTATTGTGTTTCTTGATTTTTGGGGGCTACTTTGAGCTTTTTGTATCTCCTTGTTTTTTTTTATTTATTGGATTTCATCAATTTCTTAGATATTTTGGATTTTTTTGAAGTATTGAATTTTTTTGCTTTCTTGGGTTGCACTCTTCTTGAATTTCTTGGATTTCTTGGATTTTATGGATGTCTTGAGTATCTTGGATTTCTGTGATTTCTTCAATTTCTTGGATGTTTCAGATGTCTTGGATTTATTGAATTCTTTGGACTGCTTGCGTTTTTTTAGTTCCTTCAGTTACTTGAATTTCCTCGTTTTTTGAGTTTTTTTGGATTTTTGGTATTTCCTTGTTTTTTATGTATATTAGATTTATTGGATTTCTTAGATTACTACTCTTGTATTTCTTGAGGTTTTTTCGGGCTTTTAATGTTTACTTGTTTTTTGCATTTATTGGATTTTTTCAGTTTCTGCGATGTTTTGGATATAATCGAGAAATCAAAACATTAAGGAAAACAAAAAAATTAACGGAAAATCTAGAACTTAACAATTGAAAAATTAAAATACCTATCGAAAAATTGAAAAACCGAGAAATCGAAACATCAAAAAATGGAAAAATTGAAGAACCGAAACATTGCAAAATCTCAGAACTGAAATACTGAAAAATTGAAAAATGGAAAGAAAATTGAAGAATCGGAAAAGTGAAAAAATGCCAAACTGAAACATTGAAAAATCCAGAAATCGAAAAATTGAAAAATCACAGTTGAAGAAAGAATTGAAAAATCAAGAAATAGAGAAATGGGAAAATCAAAAAATCAGTTAATCGAAAAATTGAGAAACGTCAAAAATTGAAAACTGAAAAATAAAAAAAAATAAAAATCGTAAAACTGAAATATCGTAAAGTTAATAAATTGAAAAACTGAACATTTTTGAAAAAAGAAATCGTATCAAAAACTAAAAATTCAAAAAATCGAGAAATTGAACAATCAAAAAATCAAAACATTGAAATCTCAGAAAGTTGATAAATAGGAAAATTTAAAAAACAAAAATTTTAAAAATCCAAGAATTGAACAACAAAAAAAATCTAAGCTTGAAAACTCAGAAAATTGGATGATCGAGAACAAAAAATCTAAAATTTAAAAATTCGACAAATTGAAAAATCATGGAACTGAAAAATCGAAAAGTCGAAATAGTGAGAAATCTAAAAACCTAAAACTTTAAAAACTGAAAAATTAAAATATCGAAAAATTTAAAAACCGAGAAAACACAATATCAAAAATTTGAAACATTGAAGAAACGAAATATTGCAAAATTCCAAAGCTGAAATATTGAAAAACCTAAAAATGGAAGGAAAATTAAAGAATCGAAACAGTAAAAAAATCCCAAACTGAAACATTGAAAAATTGAGAACTGGAAAAATGGGAAAATCAAAAAAATTGGTCTAGAGTTTAGACAGTACTTCCCTCGCTATCGGAAACGTGACGACTGCACGCCTATTATGTTTTTTTTTCACATTAGATTTCAAAGCATTCGGTTTTGTAATTCCTGATTAAATCAACCAAATAAATTTGCGCATTCATTAAATTTTTTGAGTATCCGAATCCAAAAAATATGAATGGAATAATAAATTACAAGAAGAGACTCATCATATTTTGTAAATTTTAAATAGGATTATACGGCAAACTTTTGAGCTGACGTCATCAATTTTTTGGAGGGGATAAGCAAATATATTTTGACTAAAACTGTATTATGCTCTTTATAACCTTAAAACATTTGCAAGATTTCAAAGCATTGGGTTCTGTAATTCCTGATTAAATCAATAAAATAAATTTACGCATTCATTAATTTTTGGGGTCATCCTGTATATGCAAATCCAAAAAACATGAATGGAATGATAAATCACAAGAAGAGACTCATCATATTTTATACAATTTAGATGGGATTTATTCAGCAAAATTTTGAGGTGACGTCATCAATTTGTTAGAGGGGATAAGTAAATATATCGTGATTAAAACGGTCCTGGTTTAATAACAAAAAAATATTGTTCGTCTATAAAACAAGCTCGTCTTAGACAAAGTATTCGTAAAAAAAATATGTCGTAAAAAAATTTACGTATGCTGGTCCCGACTGCGATTATGGTTTAAATATTTTTTAGAAAATCCTGTCATGGATGTAGAAACATTTGTGACAGCCAAAGAGGTTTTTTTGAGAAAATTATCTTTGAATTTAGACCAAATTGAAATAGACACTGGGCAACAGGCACATTTGGGCAAAAGAAAGAGAAATTAGGGTTACGTCTTCAAATTTTGGACGTATTTACAAACTTAGACCGACTACAGCAATAGCTAAAACTGTGGAGTCTCTGTTGTACAGTACATTTAGAGGTAATAGTCATACATACTATGGACAGCAAAGTGAGGAAAAAGCTGTCAAGTGTTTTGAAATAAATAAAAATATAAAAACTGAACGGTGTGTCTTTATTTCAAAACAATTTCCTTACTTGGCTGCTAGTCCAGACAGGGTTCTAGAGGATAGGAGTGCATTAGTCGAAATTAAATGCCCTTCAAAATCGCAAGATTTGTCTCCCGAAGAAGCGGTTAGAAAAAAAAAATAATCAAATTTTGTACATTGACAGACAGAGAATTGAAACTAAAAAAAAATCATGATTACTACTTTCAGGTCCAGGGACAAATGCTTGTTACGGGTATTTCACAAGTTTATTTTGTTCTATGGACACCCAAAGGAATAAATATAGAAAAAATTTATAAAGACGAAGAAATATATGTAAAAAGATGGCAGATAAACTTGGCAGATTTTACTTTGGCGCATTATTGCTCGAAATAATTGATTCAAGAAGAAAGAGGAACCTGCCTTTGCGAGAGATTTTTTTAAAATAAATAAAATTTGTTTCTATTTTTTTATGTACTTTAATAATTTATTAGGAGTACATTTTTCATCACCAAGACTTGCATATTTTTATTATAAATATATTTTGAAAATGATCTCTCGGCAAATGAAAACATATACGAACACTTTTTTCGAGTAAACAATGAAGGGAGAAGTTACTAGGCGTAGGGCTTTTTTAAAACACCTCCTTTCTGGGATAAGTAGTAGATACACTTAGCTACTTATACGTGTTAAACAAAAGCTCTATTTTATATATTTTTTATTATTATTATAAATATGTTTATTAGTTTTATTAATTAACAAAGCAAAATATATATTAACAATAATATTACAATGAATTTTTAGTAATCATGTGTATTGAATTCAGGATTCTGAGTGGAGTAAAAATATTATAGTTCCTCAGTTTTAATTCGGTTTTATGATAGTACCTCATTGCGTAAAAGTTAATTTCCTTAACAATAGATTACTACGGCCGGTCCTGGCGGCTTGTTATAAAATTGAGTTCCTTGCCATAAATTAGAAAAATCAGGCGAGAACTCTAACAATCAGCTTATGGTAGAGCAGGCGATAAGGGAATTTACCTGGAAAGTCGCTTCCGTAAATTTTAGTGGCGCTCCTATCGGCAAAGTACTGAACTAACTGCTCAAATTCTGTGGAATTGATACCCATTTTTTTCAATAATTGTTAGTTTTTGTTAAAAACTTTGCTAACCAATAGATCATTAATTTTCCTCTGATATTCCTGTTAAAATTATTCGACGTATTTTGCATTAATTTGTGGTATATTTTGATTTTAATAAACACATTATTATTTAAACAAATTGTACCACTAACAAACATTTAATGACTCTGCGCCCTGTAAAAAGTGATGTTTTATCCATGTGCGAATTTTCAAGTGATTCTATGACGGTTATGACTCAAAAAACTTGAAAAGAAAACATACAATGGTGCTTTTTTTACGATATTTCTCAGCCATATTTTTTTAGTTGATTGAACTGGTCTCTGCGCTCTAGAATATGAAAAAAGCTGCAGTTTGATGTATGATACATCTATATTAATATCATTTTTTCATACAAAAAAACCAAAAAAATGTTATACCTCGTCTAGCGAGTCCCCTTAAGAATATTTTAAAGCAAGGAAAATTTCTCCATTCTCGGCATTATTGAAAAACTCATAAACACACCATTTTCAGGAACTCGTTTCAACATTTCCGCCATCTTTATCTCCCTAGATTCCCCGAATTCCCCATTTCCTCACCAAAAACCGCATTTCTCCAACATCAAACAACCCGACTCCTATCTCGTAAACCCGACACCTGCAGCCCCCTACCTTCGCATCGTCGAACGATTCATCCCCCTCTTCAGTTTGCTGGCCCCTCGTCACAGTTACCCTCCCGCACGCCCGCGGCGTCGTCGGTGGCGTCGGCAAGCTGTCGGGCGGCTGCTGCACGCCCTCTGTCTCCTGGCGAATAAACTGGATCCTCCCCGCTTCGACGCAGATATTGGGCGCTAGAGGGTAGCACTGCGTGGGGCTCGGGTTGGAGTCGAGGCTGGCGCGCTTGGGGTAGGGCGGAGGGCTGCCGTTGGCCAGGTCGTTCGGCGACAGCTCCGGCATGACTACGTGCTTGTCGTACCCTAAAAAATGGGCCTTGTCCTCGCACACGGGGTGCACTTGGCGCGCGGACGGGCGGCAGGGCTTGTCCTTCTCGGCGTCGATCGAGGTCGGGTCCGAGCCGGGGATGCGGGAGACGTTGGCAGACCTGCAACAAAAAAAAAAAACCGTCACTACTAGTTTTAGTGATCGTTATGGACAACGCTTCATACACACAATATATACATTATTCTTACTATTGTTGCCGCTTTAAGAATTTCGGTCGTTTTGCCTCCGCTTAAGCAAGAAGTCTAAAATTTACCATGTTTTAAGTTTCTTGTTGCCGGAATAAGTCTACACACCTTAAGGAAAAAAGGCAAAGTGTAGCCCCACCCACCCGCCCTATTTCAATTGTGATGATTTTTGTTATTCGTCGTGAGCCAAGAAGGCGGAGCTTAACTGCAAAATCCATATTTTTTCACAAAAATTTACCATTTTAAACGTGTTTTAAGTTACTAAGAAAAAAATCATCACAATTGAGATGGGGTGGGTGAGCGGGGTTTATATTTGGCTTTTTCTCTTAATGTACATAGTATTTTTTGAACAACACGATACTCAAAAACTTGTTTTTTATTTTTTGTAAAGAAATAAGTATTTTGTAGTTAAGCTTCGTCCCACTGGCTCACATGGAATAAAAAAAAATGAAGAATTAAAATATGAAAAAATTGAAAAACCAAGGACTCGAAACATGAAAAAAACCATAACTTGGAAAACTAAAAAATCTAAAACTTAAAAATCGAAACAGTGAAAAATCGGAAAATCCAAAAATTAAAAAATTTAGAATTGAAATATTGAAAAATCCCAAAACTGAAATATCAAAAATTGAAAAATGGGGAAAAAATTGAAGAACGGGAAAAAAAATTTAGAATGGAAAAATGAGAAAAAAAAACCAAAACTGAAACAGAAAAATTGAGAAATCGAAAAATTGAAAATTCGAAATACGAGGTAAGCGCCAAATATTCTCGGCCTAACAAAGAAAGAGACCTGATGGAAAAAAATTAAATATTTATATTTCAACATAATCTCTGTTAACTTCAATACATTCAAAACTACGTTCAACTAACAGCTCTATGCGTTTAAAAAAATTATTTGAATCTTTATCACTAAAATGATGTAGTACTGCCGTTTGCACCTCTTTATCCGTCCAAAACGTTTTCCCTGCAAGTCGTTTTTTATCTTAGAGAACAGTTAATAATCGTTCGAAGCTAAGTCAGTACTGTAGGGTGGATGATCAAGTTACTCGAAGTCACAGGCCCCTATAGCAGCTTGAGAAAGACATGCGGTATGAACGAGCGCATTTTCATGAAGCAATCGAACGCCTCTTCTTAATTTTCTCGGCCTTTTTTCCCAAATACGGTCTCCTAATTTATGCAGTAAGTAAGCATAATATGCAGCGTTGACAGTGGTATTTCATCCTTTAAAATTAATCAACAACATGCCTTTACAGTCCCAAAAAATTGTGGCCATGATTTTTTTGGAAGATTGGTTCGTCTTCAAGGGTTTCTTACCCCATGCGAAATAACTGTGATCATTTTTTTTCGTAAAATGTGAAGGACAAGCTTCAGCAAACACAAAAACCATCCTGTCCTTAATACCCTTTAGAGCAATTCCATCTTTTGATAAGAATTTTATTGCCGTTCGATTTTCAATTTTAAACAGGCATGATGAGTCCATAATTTTTCAAATATTACTCCTCAAATGTATCAAAACTAATGGGCAGTGGGGCTTGAAATTTTACACACATACTGCGGGGACCCTCTAGTCTTTTATGAGTTGTACAAATTTCCCGACGAGCAATCGCAAATATATCAGGCCGAGAATATTTGGCGCTTACCTCGTATCTTAAAGTTAAAAAATCGAAGTCGAAAAATCTAAAATCCAGAAGTCGCAAAATTGTATTTCATTAAATTGAAACATCTACTGAAAAATATAAAGTTTGAAAAATTCGAAAAATTGAGACATAGAAACATCAAAAAATTGAGAATCGAAAAAGTAAAAAACTGAGAAATCCAAAAATTGAAAAATAAAGAATTGAAATATTGAAAAATCCCAAAACTGAAGTATCAAAAAACTGAAAAATGGAAAAATGATTGAAGAATGGAAAAATTAAAAAAAAAGCCAAAACTGAAACAGAAAAATTGAGAAATCGAAAAATTGAAAATTCGAGAAAACTAAACGTCGAAAAATCGAAAAATTAAAATATTGGAAAATTCCAAAACTGAAATATCAAAAAACTGAAAAATGAGAAAAAAATTGAAGAATGGAAAAATTTAAAAAAAAACAAAACTGAAATACATACAGAAAAATTAAGAAATCGAGAAATCTAAAGTTCGCAAAATCGTTAAATTGAAACATCAAGAAACTGAAAAATCTAAAATTTGAAAAATTCGAAAAACTGAGAAACAGGAACATCAATAAATCGAAAAATTGAAAATGGAAAAAGTAAAAATCAAGAGATAGAAAATCGAAAAATTGAAATATCCCAAAGCTGAAATACCGAAAAATAGAAAAAGGGAAGAAAAATCGAAGGATCAAAAAAGTGAAAAGTCAAAACTGAAACAAAAAAACTGAAAAATCTAGAAATCGAAAAGTCGAAAAATAGAAAATTTTAAAAAATCCAAAAGTCGAGAAACCGACAAATAAAAATCGATTATTTGGGAAACTGAGAAATCGAAAGAATTGAAGAATCAAAAATTGAGAAATCGTATAAGATCGAAACATCGGAAAACGCAAAATAGAAAAATGAAAAAAATTGAGAAACCGAAAAATTGAAAATTCCAGAAATCTAAAAGTCGAAAAATCAAAATATTGAAAAATCCCAAAACTGAAATATCAAAAAATTGAACAATAAAAAAAAAATTGAAGAATAGAAATATTTAAAAAAAAGCCAAAACTGAAACAGAAAAATTAAGAAATCGAAAAATTGAAAATTCGAGAAGTCTAAAATTCGAAAAATCGAAAAATTGAAGAATTAAAATTTTGAAAAATCCCAAAACTGAAATAACAAAAAATTGAAAAATGGGGAAAAAACTGAAGAATGAGAAAAACTTTAAGAATGGAAAAATAAAAAAAAGCCAAAACAAACACCGAAAAATTGAGAAATCGAGAAATTTAAAATTCGAGATATCTAAAAGTCAAAAAATCGAAAAGTCGAAGTAGAAAAATCTAAAACCGAGAAGTCGAAAAAAATTATTTCATTCAATTGAGACATCAACTGAAAAATCTAAAATTTAAAAAACTCGAAAAATTGAGAAATAGAAACATTGAAAAATTGAAAATCGAAAAAATAAAAAATCGAGAAATCCAAAAATTGAAAAATTGAGAACTGAAATATTGAAAAATCCCAAAACTGAAATAACAAAAAACTGAACAATGGGAAAATAATTGAAGAATGGAAAAATTAAAAAAATAGCCAAAACAGAAACAGAAAAATTAAGAAATCGAAAAATTGAAAATTCGAAAAATCGAAAAATTGAAGAACTAAAATTTTGAAAAATCCCAAAACTGAAATAACAAATAATTGAAAAATGGGGAAAAAACTGAAGAATGGGAAAAACTTTAAGAATGGAAAAATAAAAAAAAGCCAAAACTGAAACACCGAAAAATTGAGAAATCGAGAAATTGAAAATTCGAGAAATCTTAAAAGTCGAAAAATCGAAAAATTGAAGACTTGAAATATTGAAAAATCCCAAAACTGAAATAACAAAAAACTGAACAATGGGAAAATAATTGAAGAATGGAAAAATTAAAAAAAAAGCCAAAACAGAAACAGAAAAATTAAGAAATCGAAAAATTGAAAATTCGAGAAGTCTGAAATTCGAAAAAATTGAAGAACTAAAATTTTGAAAAATCGCAAAACTGAAATAACAAAAAATTGAAAAATGGGGAAAAACTGAAGAATGGGAAAAACTTTAAGAATGGAAAAATAAAAAAAAGCCAAAACGGAAACACTGAAAAATTGAGAAATCGAGAAACTGAAAATTCGAGAAATCTTAAAAGTCGAAAAATCGAAAAATTGAAGACTTAAAATATTGAAAAATCCGAAAACTGAAATATCAAAAACTGAAAAATGAGAAAAAAAATTAAGAATGGAAAACCTTAAAAAAAACCAAAACTAAAATACAGAAAAATCAATAAACTGAAAATTCTAAAATTTAAAAAATTCGAAAAATTGAGAAATAGAAAAATCAGTAAATTGAAAAATTGAAAATCTAAAAAGTAAAAAATCGAGAGATCGAAAATCGAAACGTCAAAAAAAATTTAAAAATTTAAAAACCCCAAAGCTGAATTACTGAAAAATTGAAAAAGGGAACAAAAATTGAAGGATCGAAAAAGTGAAAAACCAAAACTGAAACAAAAAAAAATTAAAAATTTAGAAATCCAAAAGTCGTAAAATAAAAAATTAAAAAAAATTTAAAAGTCGAGAAATCTATAAATGAAAATCGATTATTTGGGAAATCGAGAAATCGAAAAAATTGAAGCATCAAAAATTGTGAAATCGTAAGATCGAAACATCGGAAAATGAAAAAAATTAAGAAACCAAAAAATTGAAAATTCCAGAAATCTAAAAGTCGAAAAATCGAAAAATTGAACAGAAATATTGAAAAATCCCAAAACTGAAATATCAAAAAATTGAAAAATGGAAAACTTAAAAAAACCCTAACTGAAACAGAAAAATTGAGAAATCGAAAATTTGAAAATTCGAGGAAACTAAAAGTCGAAAAATCGAAAAATAAAGTCGAAAAATCGAAAATTGAGAAGTCGAAAAATTGAAGAATCATTAAATTGAAACATCAACAAACTGAAAAATCCAAAATTTGAAAAATCTGAAAAATTGAGAAATAGAAACATTAATAAACCGAAAAATTGAATAGTGAAAAAGATAAAAATCGAGAGAACGAAAATCGAAACGTCAAAAAATCGAAAAATTGAAAAATCGATATTTTGGAAAATCCGAAAGCTGAATACCGAAAAATTGAAAACTGGAAGAAAAATTGAAGAATCGAAAAAGTGAAAAACCAAAACTGAAACACCGAAAAAATTGAAAAATCGAGAAATGAAAATGATTGTTCGAGAAACTGAGAAATCGAAAACTTGAAGAATCAAAAA